TCTGTTTGGTCCTTTGGTTAAAAAAAAAAAAGCATAATTTTGCTAAAATTATATGTGGGGCCATGAATGTGGCACAAATGCTTTAAGCTTAAATAATATGTAAGAGAATAAAATTGCTTTACTGAGAAAACCTTTATCAATAAGAAAAGTAACTATTTAGAGAGGGACAGAAAGGGTGGGAAGCATTCAAGCTTTGGACTGGATGGGTTAAGATTCTAAAGACTCGAATTTGACTTCTTTCTGTTTCCAGTTATATGACCTTGGGCCGGTCTAGTCATTTTTCAGGGTTTAGATGTGTTCATTCTCGTTCATTTAGAGATGGAATCTCACTGTATTGTTCAGACTGGTCTCCAATTTAGGTGATCCTCCTCAGTGGCTGGGACCACAGTCATTCACCATCATACTAGTAAGCTATGCTTAGTTTCAGCTGAGGAGGGACAGGAAAGAAAATGAATGGAATAACTGGGCTGATTAAACTGGTTTTTAATGTCTTTTGCAATCCCACATGTCTAAGAACAAAACAAAGTTTTCATTGTCTCTTAGTATAGTTTCTTGTCTCCTGATTTCTGGTATCAGTGGAAGTTTGATATGAGAAAGACATTGTGGGGGAATAACCATATATAATAGTCTCTGCCTTCACGATGTTTATAACCTCTTATGTGGATATTAAGAGTTACACAAAAGGACTATACTATTGTTATTGATCCCAGAAGTGAAACAGCAACAAATGGTATGAGAACTAAGAGGGAGCTGAGGTCATTGCCACCTTGGAGAATAAGGAAGGACTATTGAGGTCAGCAGCATTTGATGGAGTTGCTTCCCTGAAGGTAAGAGGGTAGGAGTAAGAAAACAGGGTATTTTGGGGAGTGAGCCATGCCAGTTGGATGCATATAGGCAAGGAGGTCCCAGTGATAGTTTGGGACCACATTTGCGTGGTCCCTTTAAACTTGGGCTGGGCTGGGCAGTGGTGGCACATGCCTTTAATCCCAACACTCTAATCCCAGCATTGGGAGGCTAAGGCAGGCAGATCTTTGTGAGTTCAAGGCTAGCCTGGTCTACAGAGTGAGTTCCAGGATAGCCAAGGTTACACTGAGAAAGCCTATCTCGAAAAATTGTGATGGCTCTATATTTTCCTTTTTTTTTTTTCTTTGTAGGAAACAAGGAACTTTAAAAGAAAAGTTAGTTTTAAATATGATCTGGTCTGAACTATGCTTTATGATAACGTAGCTTCAAGGAAGGTAAGATTAAACTGCAAGTGGAAAGTCCCCAGGGGAAAGAGGACAGCTAATCATGTCTGAGGTGTGAGGGCATCAGAGGACTAGAGTTCTGTAAATCTGAAGTAGAATCGACTAGTTCCTTTATAATAACTTAGAAATGGGAAGGCTGTTTGGGTGAGGGAAAGGGGGAACAGAAAGAGATTATTCATGAAGCACTGAATCTGAAATCCAGGAAATGCCATTGTGGTGGATGTATTCAACATTTATATACTCCTGACTGGATCTCAGCACTACAGATGGGGTAGAAACAGATACCCCAAACTCAACATTATTCTACTGACACTTAGACAAGTGCTTGGATTATCAGGGAATTGGAGATATAGAGGAAGGCTGAAACCTTTCCCTTCTGACCAATATTTTAGAATGCAATCAGGAAAGTGAGAGGTCCCTGTGTTCAAAAAGAAAGGGAATACTGAAAGGGAGTACCCACACACCACAGCTGAAATTTGGCTTTCTGTTTATGGGATTATTTGTTGAGAGAAATGGGGAGGGCACTTACACAGAGTATAAAAAAATGAGGGACCGCCTGAGGTATGTGCATTTTCCAACAAATGGATGGGGAAGACACACAAGCCCATACCTGGCCTTTAGTCCAGACTGCCATGATTCAGACCCTCATCTCTCCTTAAGATTACTGATATGTGCTCACAACCAGTGGCCTCTTCGTCTTTTAGAAATCTCAAACTGTTCCTGGATTTTGACTTTTAGATCATCAACTACGTAACTCTCCCCTCAACCCTAACATCTTTCCTCAGGTTCCCAATTTCAGTTCTCACTTATCCTAGTTGGGTTTGATTTGGGGGCTAAGAGTTCCACTGTACTTGCTCATCATCTCTAAAGGTCTACAACAGAGAGGAAAACAGACAGAAAAGCACCGGGAAGGAAATGAACCTCCAGCTCTTTTGTAGTCCACACACACAGGTCTGTTTGCAAACTAGGATTTTATCATCCAAAAGTCTGTCTTCACTTTAAAGTCTGGGATTATATCACAGAGATACCTCGGGCACAAATTTGAATAGCATTAACTATCTAGCAAATTTGTTTATAACTTTTTGTTTCTCTGTTATTTTTCTTAATGACAATCACTTGCAAAGACACACGTTTTTCCAAAAATATCAGAACAATCCCACTTGCTGCAAAAGAAAAATCCTTAAGAATTCAGGTTCATTAATAAATTTTAAAATTAGGCTACCAAAACTTCCTTGTTTGTAGTCTTTCAGAGTCTGAAGTAGCCAGGCTGGTCTCCAACTCTCTATGTACCTAAGGGTGACCTTGACTCCTGAGCCTCCTGCCTTTACCTCCCAGTAGGGATTATATGCATATATCATCCTGCTCTACAGAAGGCTAGCATTTTAATCTAGTCACCTTCTGATAGCCATAATATTACTCCATGCTTCAATTTGTTTCCCATTGGCTAAAGATAATTTTTAAAATTCTGCTTTTGTCACAGAATTGCTTACTGTTCATGTTTAA